TGCTTCTTTAAATATTGCTGTGACCTAACATGCATGACCTAACCAGATCTTGATCTCCCCCTCGACCTTATCTGCTACTAATTGTCAGAAAACTTTGATTAGAGGTAAAGCTTTGTTGCTTTGTTGTAGTCCTCCTTGATAGCCAGGAAATAGATGGCGAAAGGCATCACTTAAGAGGTTTGCTCACATTCTCCTGTAAACCTACATTTCACATTGTTTAAGATAATTGAACAGCAAATGCACCAGGCAGGAACTCTTTTTTAAAAAGAATGGTAGCCACTAGATAGCTACATGTGGCTACTTACATTTAAATGAATCAAAATGAAATTATTTAAAAGTTAAAATTAAAAATTCATTCCTCTGTCACACCAGCCACATTTCAAGTGCTGGGTAGCCACATGGAGCCAGTGGTTATCCCATTGGGCAATGGTGATATAGAACACTGCCATCATCAGAGAAAGTTCTACTGGACAGTATTTTTCTAGAGCCTTATGACTTGGGGACCTTATGCAAATTACTCATTATCTCAGTTTCCTCATCTGTAAATGGGATAATAAATAATGATTTAAGAGGATTAAATCCTATAGGGTTTCAATTAGTTAATATATGTAAGGAGTTTAGAACAATGCATTACACATGGTAACCCCAATATAAGTATATGTTAAACAAATAAAAGCACTTAATTTACATATCAAATATGGCAGTGAAGTCCAAATAATATCCAACATGAATAAAAAGGGTGGGGTGGGGAATCAGTTCCTATTGTTTCCCACCAGCTGAGGTTCTCTTCCTACCTCTTCCCTTGGCCTCTACTCTTGTTTATTTTGTTCAGCTGGGAAGACCACCAAGCGGGAGCTCTTCTCTATTGCACAGTGAGTGCTTGATAAATATTTATACTAGAAATAATAATGATGTATATGGAAAAGAATCGCTCCATCATCTTAGACTTGTAGCCACTGCCAAAAAGTAGATGACTTCAAGCAACTCGGCTGTGCTCCATGGCAGATTAGGAGAGGAAGTGAAAAACTCAACTTGTTTGGGGATTTATGATGAGAAATAGTTCTGGTAACCAAAGTCTCTTGGATTCAACCCAGAATGGTAATCCCACTTGGATATATATTTGGGTGTTTTATCATAAATACAAAAAAAAAAAAGCCTCTTTGCCTGAGATACTCAGTGTGTGTTGCTGAATGGAATTCTTCCTCACTCCACACCCCATGGGGATGATGGACTGATTGTGAAGAAATAAACTGATGTCATTAGGGTATGTACCCAAACTACAGACATTAATTTCTCCTTGCCTGGGAAATTTCTGTACCTGTGCAGAACATAGTATGTACCAGTGACAGGCACAGCCCTCATTACCAAACAACACTGTCCTTCTTATTCTCCACCCCTATACCAAGTTTGCCTCTGTTTCACCTCTTATTATCTAAATTTTCCTCATCCTTCCAGGTCCTTGTAAAATATCCTTCCTTCTACGGGGACTGTCTGATCTATCCTTTCTTCCCTTTTTATGTAGAAACAGAGCCCTGATTTTTAGCTAAGCCTCCCTCTTTATTTTAAAAATTTTAATATAAATTAAATAGCTAAAATTTTGCTAGGCTCCTCGACAGGTAAGTGTGGCTCATACCATTATTATCCCTTTCCTCACCCTGTGCTTCTCAGAGCACGATGCAGTGGCTGGAGCTCTGGCAACTGTATTAGACCCTGAGATAAGTAGTTAAGTGCTGAAATGAGCACCTCAGCAAAGTCAGAAGACTTGACCTGCAAAGTCTCTATGGTGGCACCATTCTAGCCCAGAATTACACTTATTTCACATGAGGAGATATTCCTCTATCTTTTCTAAGCCACCATTTTGTTGTTCTATTTCCTGTCAAATATAGCTGAACCCAATCTCAAAGCAGGCATCCAACAATTATTTTTATTGTTATATATGATTATTATGCAGTTATACTCGATTTCTGCCTTATAATAATTTACTTAGATGTTTAAGCTTATTTTTAATTAATAGGCTTTATTTTTTAGAACAATTTCAGGTTCACAACAAAATTAGGCAGAAAGTCCAGAGTTCCAACACAACCCTTGTGCTGGTGTTTTCTCTTCTGACATAACAATAGTGTTACGCAGCAGTGTAACAGTATACCTCCTTTTGGGTTCCCGGATCTTACTGCAGTGTGTGTGTGTTGGGGTCAGGAGTCTTCCACACATGCCACCAAGCAATTCTCAAACACCATCAGGGTGTTGAAGAACTCAACTCAGTTCTGATGCTGTCCACCCAGAGAAAGCACCAGATTCCCTGGATTAAGGGTCCATCCTGCAAGACTGTCCCCAGTCCCCAACTCCAGACACTAGTAGCCAAGCCTCAGGCAGTTACCTGTGCTTCTGACCTATTGGCTACAAATTGGAGGTTCCAACCTACCCCTTAGGTTTGATTAATCTGCTAGAGCAGCTCACAGAACTCAGCAAAACACTTATGTTTATCATTTTAATAAAAGATATGTAAAGGATACAAGTTAACAGCCAGTTGAAGTGGCATGGAGAGGCATTCTGGTTCCCTAAGCATTGAATCTCTCTTCAACAGAGAAGCAAGATACGAGTTCTCAGGGGGTTTTGTAAGAGCCTCATTGCATAGTCATGACTGACTAAATTATTGGCCACTGGCTGATTCAGCCTCCAGCTTAGGTGGGGTCCAAAAGTCTCTCACTAACATGACAAAACACCCATTTCACCTGTAAGACTCTGCAGTGTTTTCAGAAACTTTAGATGAAGATCAAATATACCTGGGGAATAAATATTCGGTGATATGAATGACCAAATATCTATTTCTTATGATTCATTATTTCACAACCCTCCTCCTCCTACACACTTGCAGCCCACCCCATGATCAACAACCCACTCTGTCTTGTCACAATTAATGAAGCAACACTGATGGATCATCATCAGTCAAAGTCCACAGTTGATGTCATGGCTCCTTCTTTGCTTTTGCACCGGGTACGTTGTATGGGTTTTGACAAATGCGTAATGACATGAGTCCATCCTAATGTCATACAAAATAGTTTTGCTTCCTGAGATATCCCTTGTGCTCCACCTATTGGTCCTCTTTCCCTTCCCCCAAGCCCTTGGCAAGCACTAACCTTTTTACTCTCTCTATAATACTGACTTTCTAGAATGTCATGGAGTTGGAATCATACAGTATGCAGCCTTTCCATATTGGTTTCTTTCACTTAGTAATATGCCTTTAGTTTCTTCCATGTCTTTTCATGGCTTAATAGTGAGACAGGGACCTTGGGTGTAGTCAGAGTAGGGTGAGGGCCTCCAGAAAAAGCAAGGCAGGATATTTGCAGTCAGAGCAGTGTAACAATGTGCAAAGAAGCCCCTATCAAAACTCTCTGTTAAGCATTATGCAAAGTCAAGGTCACACTAATTCTCTATGGTAAAGATACCAGACTAGGAATATAGACATCTTTAGTGAGATCAGTTAAAGCTCAAAAGGCCAGGAGCAACTTGGCCTGGAATGTTTGCGTGTTATGCAAATAAAAAAGGGTATCTCAGCATAACCCATGACTTCACTGTAAACAGCTCTAGCAAACAGGCAACAACCCAGCCCACTTTTGGGGCAGGGCAGATGGTACAAGTCGACAGCCTAAGCCTTCAGTTCCCCAAAATCCTCCACTGCCTATAAATCCCCTAAACAACGCACCACCCCGGGCTCTCTTGTCCCTTACCTGGCATGAGCCAGGAGCTCTGTCCTCTCACTGTATCTCTAAATAAAAGCCTCTACCTTGCTCTCCTACCTTGAGTGTTTGCGAAGCTCATTCTTTGGCTCCATGAACAAGAACCCCGGCATCAATAGCTCATTCATTTTAGCACTGAACAATATTGCATTGCATGGATGTACCACAGTTTATTTATCCATTACCTACTGAAAGACATCTTGGTTGCTTCCAAATTTTGGCAATCATGAATAAAGCTGCTATGAACATCCATGTGCAGGTTTTGGGTGGGCATATAATTTTCAGCTCCTTTGGGCAAATACCAAGAAGCATGATTGATGGATGGGACAGTAAGGGTATGTTCAACTTTATAAGAAATCACCTGTCTTCCAGTGTGGCTGTACCATTTGTATTTCCAGTAGCCATGAATCGAAAGTACTTGGTATCTCATTGTCATTCTAATTTGCAATTCCCTAATAACAACTGATGTTGAGTATCTTTTTACAATTATTTTTGATAATCATTCCTTACTACAACATTGTGAGGAAAGGTTGTGTTGTTACCACCTCTACTTGGCAGCAGAGGAAAACAGACTCAGAAAACTTCCTGACTTGCTTGTAATTTTTATAGGTGATCATAGTCTGACTTCTCAGCCATCCAGCTAATGGAGGCTATGTTGTTGAACTTCCAAGCATTGCCCCCAGTGTTTGAAGCCAAATAGCTTTCTCAACACTTTGAGAGACAGTCTGGCCGTGTCTGCACATTACCGAAAAAAAAGGTGATGTTTAATAAATCAACACCTGAAATTAAAGAATAGTCACTGAATAGAGCATGCCCTTGGCTGCCAGGAGCATGTCATGAGGGGCAGAACCACACTTTCTTATTTTCAGGCAAACCTCTTTTATCTGGGAAACAAAAGCAAAAATGCCTTGTAAGTCTGGGAAGAGGAAATCCCTGGGCAAAATACCTCTAAAAACTGAAATTAGTCAAAGGGAGAAATAAAGTTTAAAAACCCATTTATTGCTTACAATCTGCAGTCCAGCCCATCTCTCCTGCTCCAGCAGCAGCAAAACTGGCCCTCCTCTAACCTCTGGGGTACAGATAAGCCCTCCTTGCCCAGGTAATTACCCATTATATGGAGATGAACTTCTCTCCACCCCTGAGGAATGATGCAAATCCACTCAAGCCATACTTCTCTCCACCCTTGAGCTCCTGTTGATATGCAGATGTACTAAAGTCAGGTGAGATATTCTGGATAAATTAGAATTTTACCCACAGCCTTCAGACAAAACAAAACAAAAATTTTAATCAACAAAACCAAAACCACACAACACAAATCATACCAACTCCACATGTGAAGTACCTTTTAGAGTACCCAGCATTGTAAACAGCATTTTGCTAGCAGGTGTTTCAATCCTTGTACACGTTTCAGGTGTGAATGCTAAATTTTTGTCTTCTAGAAAAACCAAATTTCCTATACATTACTTTCAATCCTGAAATTTGAGTATCTTGGCTACTAATCAACTCTGATTCTGTGCTTTGGACTCAGAGTGTTATTACTCTTAATCAAAAATCTGATAGACATAAAAGAAAAAAGCACCTATCTTCAAATTCACTAAATTACAAAATATGGCATAAACCATAATTCTCTGCTTTTGTATAATGAAAATCAACTCTTCAAGAAGAGAAATCAGGACAGGAACTTCTGAAAAAAGCAAATTTTAATATGGATATGTTCCTTAGAGCAGAATTTCTCCCAAGCCTTTGATTCATACCATTTTCAGTGATAGTAGTTTGGGATTTTTATTTTCAGATATGCAGAGTCTGGGAAGTCTTAGTAGGACTGAAAGGTATGAGGTTGGGGCAGTGATAGTTGTGGGAGAGGGAGAGTTGGATTCCTAAATTTCTGCTTATTCAACAGAGCATGTTCTAACATTCAATACACAACATTTTTGGCACTGCTATGAGTCAATCAGCCAGCTTTCTTTTTATTGTTTTACCTTAGTGGAGAATTAAGTAGCAGCAGAGCTGGCAAAATAGAAAGGTAAAAGAGGTTCTCTGAAGTCAAGGTAAGAAACAAAGAAAACATAAGATCCAAATGAGGAAGAAAGGTAAAGAAACATTATGTGGAATCTGGAGTAGAACCCTCCTTTTGTTTCTCGCGCTGAATTGTGAGAACCACGATTGCTCCTTCCTCATGATGAGGGTGATGATGAGAGCGTTCATGGCCACAGGCTCTGCTGACAGCAGCCAGTGAATTCTCAGACTGTGGTCAAGCAAGTCCTGGTTTTTTACTTTTTCCAGGAGGAATATGCCAAATTTCACCTGTGAGTATCAGAAATTTAAGCTGCCCAGAGGCTACAGGCTGTTTCTTCATGACTCTGTGCTCTAATGGAACACAAGGCCATCGTTTTACTGGATGTATTTAATTAGGCTTTGGGCTGTAATGGAGTATTCATCTGAAAGCGTCTTCAATAGGAAATCAAGAGGTACATGGTCCCAGGGTTGCAACAGTGGTTCAATGATACCATCACACTGTCAAGATGTTTCTGCCCCTCCACCTCATCCAGTCCTCTGATAGTGACTTTGATCCTCAGGCTTGTCGTCTCGCAGTTACAATTGCAAGCATCATATTCTTTCAGAACTGCATCAAAGAGAAGAAAAGGAGGTAGTCAGAAAAAAATCTCTCCTCCTGTATTTTCCTCTCTTTAACATCAAAGAAAATATGTCATAGAATCCTCCAAGCCAGAAATGGCCAGAACTGAGTCACATAGCTGACCCTCAGTGCAAGATACAGCTGGAAAACCGGATGCTTATCTGAAATTTAAAGTTTTTATGGGAAGTGGGCTGTGCTAAGGAAGAGGGGTAGGAGAATGGCATTGTATGGAGAACAATGTCTGTCATTGCCATAAGTTAAGAAAGATTGCTAGGTTTCAAGAGGAAAAATCCCTCCTGACACAAATGATATTTAGTGTTCTTACTGGGATATAGGACTGTCGCACAATCAAGTAATTCAGACTTGAGGAAAAAGTCAACTATGAATGCAATGAAAAAAACCCACTCTCCTTGATCTGATGGATTCCTTAGTCTTAATAGAGAAAAATCATAAGGCTGGGGATTGACTGGTTATAAGCTGAAAGACTTAATGCTTGTACCATGAGGCTGATGTTGCTATTCCTCTTGTTGCCCATCTCCCATAGTTCTAGTAGTTAATTCTTCTGGTCCCATAGGGATTCACTCATAAAACTTAGCTCTCATTGATTCCCTGAGGCCCAAATATTTTTCACTGAACCATTGGGTTGAATATTTTCACAAACTTTCCCATAGAGAGATGGAGGGTGAAACTCACCCAGCCTAATAAAATATGCCATCTCCTCCTCTAGGACCTTCAATCATCACCAAGCTCAAAATGCTGCAGCTCAAAAACATGTTTTATTTTTCTGTTTAAGATGGAAGGAGTACTTTTGAAATAGGCAGCACTTTAAGATTGGGCTCATCCCTGCTCAAGAGTCTCAACTAAACAAGATGATCTTACCTCACCGTGCAGAAACTCTCTCCAGTTCTTTTTATGTGCTTGAACAATGTGTTGGGAATTCTAAATTCTTCCCATGCTAGGAATACAAATATTCTTAACACTCATAAAATGATCTTCCCTTAATAAAAGAACAGAGAGATCACCCACTAAAAATACTTAGTCTGGGTTCAACTTGAAGAATTGAAAATATTTGTGTTATCTTGGTTTTCAATAGGAGTTGCCCTGTGGGATCAAATCGCTATTTGTCAGAGCTAATATCCCCACCTCTTGTTTGGCCAGAATCAGATGTACCAGAGAAAAGGAAAAGGAAAATAAAGAGGGAAAGTCAAGCCTATTGCACCTGGCCCACTGTGTACTATCCCACGCTGGACTGTGAGGTGGGAATTCCTTCTTGCCCCTCCCTCCACATGTGATCAGTTTACATCCTGGAACATGAGACTTCATTTCCTTGTATCTTTTTTGTTCTAGCTCACAGAGCTTTAAAATCTAGTCATGCTCATAAAATTATCTAATCCTCAAATCCCACTCTCTCTTGCCTTAGCAGCCCCCTGTGGCCACAAATGCCACAGGTTGACTCTATTGGTTGGGCTGCATACAAGTTGGTTGATTTGAATCTTTTTCTTTTATTTATTGATATTTTCCATCTTCTAGCTACAATGAATGTGCCCTATTCTTACTTGGAATAAGCTTTAAAAAATGCAAGTGTTTAATCTCCTGGGAGTCCCTTTTGATCTTGGTTAAACTGGCTTATTTGAGAACTTTGTCCCCAACAGTAGCTGAGAAATAGACTCTGAGAGGAAGTGAACAAACTAAAGTGGAAGTAGGGTGCAGTGGAGACCTGAGGGAGTTATCCATTCTTAGAGTATGTTTCCACACACTGTGCTCTTGATGATGGCGCCACCATCAAGAGTCGGATGTACGGAAAATGCTGCCTGCTGTGCCATACAGACTTCCAACTCATCAGTTAAAGGCTCTGAAAGCTTGGCACTAAACAGAAAATCCTGGTCACACTTGTTTCACCCCTGTTTACTAAACTCATTTGGCCTGGGAACCTTGTTTCCTGGGACACAGACAAACTTCTTATAGAACCATTATTTGAGAAATACTGCCTAAACAGTATTTTAGGCAAAATGTCTTCTTTTATTTAAGTAATTTAATCACTAGTCATTGCTCTGAACTCTTGTATTTATGCCTACAGGCCAAGAGTCGATATGCACTAGGAGAGAGCACAGCATTTGGAGTCAGAAAATCTTGGTCTTAGCTGAGGTCTAAGGATGAAGTTCAGTTTCTTAACATGACTCCATGATAGATACATTATTACTCTTAAGATTTCAAAGAGGGTAGGGTAAAGTAATAAAGCAAAGGGTTTGGGGAAAAATAAAGCATTAGACAAATATTTTTTATTATATTCTACTATTTGTTTGACACTTAGAGTATGTTCGCTTGAAAACCTTTACTATGTATGCAATTTTATTATTAGCGGGGGTAGGGTTATTGCAGGAACAAGTAATCTTTAAATCTCAGTGCCTTTATATTGTAAAAGTCCATTGACCTGGTTCCCTTCAGGTGTTTCTGTTCAGGTAATTCTCTTGGGTGGTTCTTCTCTAAGTAGAAATTCAGAGTTGCAGGTGCTTTCCATCTTGTGGCTCTGCTGTATTGCGGCTTCAGGGTCACCTTGGGGCTATCTAGCCAGCAGACAGCAGGAGAAACAGGAATTCATGAAGAAACAAATGAAGTGATTTAGGACCTAGAAATGGCATACACCACTCCTCCCTCCATTCTGTTGTACAGAACTCGTCATGTGACCCCTTCTCAACACAAGGGTCCTTGGAAATGTAGTATTTCTGTGTCCCAGGAGTAAGTGAAATAGCTGCATAAATACATGATGCTGTCTCAGGCAAAGATCTGACTCCCAACTGGTCTTGGAAGATTCCCTTCCATTCTTAAGGTTTGAGCCCTAGCTCCCAATAAATGTTAATGCTAATAATCAATCAATCTAAGTAAGTTTGTTTTTCTCCCTGAATTATTGACAATTACCTCAATCAGTTAACATTTTGAGAAAAGGGCTTTCAAGTCACTGTGCACAGTTATAAAGAAAACAAAGGAAAAATACTCTTGTGGAAATGCCGTCTGATGAGGGAGAGAGAATTCACATAAATATATTTAAACACCAACTACAGACTCTGCCAAATACTCAAAACCAACTGCAGCTGTGCAGAGGAAACATAAATCTGTACAGAGTAAGAAAGGCAGTAAGGGAAGGGGATGAGCTGGATGTCTGAATTAATTGGAGCCAGGAGGAGATCATCAAAGAAGACTAAACTTTATGCAATATTTTTCAATAGCGTATAATTTTCCTAATTATAAAGAGTACAAAATTTACAAAACACAGAAAAGTACAAAACATTAAAAAAAACACCCAAAATCCCAATACCTATCCACACTCCATATATATTATCTCTGTAAAGATTATTGCAATTTTCTATTTGACCTAGGTTCTTGTTTTTTTTTTAAGCATACATTTCCCCCACCCCCACCCCCCAATATCATACTCTACAGGTTTTGTGGTTTGTTTTTTAAAAACTCACCAATATAGTCTGAATAGTTCTCAGTGTTCAGAACATGACTTTTAACTGGCTGTACATTCAACTACAGTTGGGCATAAATTGTTTGTTTTTCATCAAATAATTTTTTCATTCTTATACAAAATGGTGTGTTGGACATATTCAGCTTTGTACATATCTCCAATTGTTTTGCATTTCAAAAGAATTGTAAATAATGGGGACTATCATCTGTTAAAATTTATGATGTATTTACTGTGAATTAAGTTTCTTATATGCAGTATCTCATTTAATCCTCAGAACAACTGTATGCCAATACTAGTAGTATCATATTCACTTTACAGGTGAGGAAACAATGACTTGTCAAAGTTAAATAGCTTGCCTCACATGGCATATCTAGTCCATCATAGAAGTGGGGTTTGAACTGGACTGACTTCGGAGTCTAAGCTCCATCCACTGCGAGAATACTCTGCCCCAAGAGTCCACTTAAATTCTCTCTAGGAGATTAACCTCAATGGCAAGTTGACAGAGTAATAGATATGGCTTGAGAAGGGGCATGTATAATCAGCAGGAATGGTTTATGCAATGGCTTAGAGGAGAGAAAGGGTAAAGTTTTATGAGGGATAATAACTTTTGCTAGGCTGAAGTAAAAAAAGTATAAGCTAGTATGTCCAGGGAGGAAAATTTGTTTCAAAGGACTGTCTCTAAGCCAAAATTCAGGAGTGTTTAAAAATTATTTAAAGAGACAATAGGAGTGCCTGTCCAGACATACTAAGGGGAGTGATGTCAAAACAATACTTGATAAAGTTGTACTTTGTTTTACTCTTTGATTTAGGACACTGGCTTTCAGCTTGTGGAGTGAGATAAGATCTAGGTTTCAGGGGGTCCTTTTGGAGACCTTTTGTCATAATTTTCTTCCAGCCTGACATGTTCTCTGTGGGAATGCAACTTTCTTCACAGTAGCTGTAGAATTTGAAGGAAGCCTGAAAGGCATGACCTCTTCCATTTCCAGTCTCCATCCACGGCCACGTCTCCGGGTGCATTCCAAATCCCAGATGGAATCAGAGCAGGAGCAATGACCAAGAGACACGGAGGTTGACCAGAGACCGTCAGGGTGGAGAGAGTGACGTGGTGGCTCTGAGCGCAAGTTCTGTCCTCACACTGCGTGGGCTCACATACCGGACCCACCACTTATTAGCCATATGAGTTTGGACAGATGACATTTTCTCTGTGTCTCAGTTTCCTCAACTGTAAAGTGTAAAAATATAATGTTAAATACAGCTCAAACTGTAAAACACAATAATAATACCTAATTCATAGAGTCATTGTGAAGATTAAATGAGCAAAAACAAGTAAAAATGTTAGCTGTTGTTATCTCCACAAGGTAAATCATGGTTGCTTACTGATTTTTCTCAGTTGGCCCTCCAGTCCCAGCTCTTGGAACATAAGAGCTCAATAGATGTGTATGCGTGTGGATTCAAACCGGGAGTCCAGTTCTTCCTAAGTCTGGTAACTTTTGCCCCTGAGGAACAAGCACCTGTTTACTGAATATCCTAAATATTCTACATTTCGTATGACCACAGAGTACTAACACTTCCCTTTTCCCTTCTGGACTTTCTGGACATTTACAAAAAGGCCCCAGGCCAGCACTACCACTGTTTGGACAACACGGAGAACTCTCTGACCAATGTCCCTTCCCTCCCTCTCCCGAGTGTGTCTCCCACCCCTCCTTCTCTCACTATTCATTGCTTAGGACCATTCTGTGCACACACATGCTCATGTAATTTTTACCTCCGACTCCCTTCTTTCTGTCTCATTTCTTGTCCTGTTACCTTAGTAGTGAGGGAAGTTGAATGGGATCAGGGTCCTTTCTCTGTTTCCTTCTTTAGTCCTAAGTGACCAGATGAGATTAGATAACTAGAGAACTAGTTGTTTTTTAGCATCTTGAAAGTACCCCCAAAGCCTTCTATAGAACTTACTTAAAAGTCTCCCTCTACTATTTCAAAAATCTATAATTGAAACTGCTCTTCCTAGATGTTAACATGTAAAATAATATATCAATCAATCACTTTTGAGCTAATTAATTAAGAACACTTAATGTAAACTGATGATTTAAAAATGCACAGTAGTCTGCTACACTATGGGTTAAACAGTGCTTAAAGGGCAGTCTGGGAACCAACTCCTATGGGTAACATTGTTTCTATGGGAAAATGCACTCTGAATTCCAGACAACCCATTTACCCACTAACTTTTGGGCTATGATCCTTCAGTAAGTCAGAGACTGACTAAAAATACCAAATATTTTTATGTACTTTTTATCAATGCATTAAAAACACATTCTTAGGTTTTATCTTAATAGGGTGAAGCAAACCCTAGCCTCCTATGAAACTAGCATATGTTGCTTTTCTGACCTCCAAAGTGCAGTTGAAAGGTGGTTTGTGGATTTTCTACAAAGAAAGGGCCTGGCTATTTTAATTAGCTTAATGTATGTAAGATCAATTATTTCAAGACAGTAGACAAACAAAATCATTCATATTGTTGGCAGGTTTACACAAATGATTTCACAAGAGTAAATCACTTTAAGGTTACATAGGACAGATGCACACAGTCTACGTGAGAACGTTTGGAAAATATTTTGGACTCTTTTTTCAAGGGCATACAATACGCATGGAATTTGCTGGAATCTGTTTCTCCAATTAGGTCTTTATTACCCACACTGTAATGACGGGTTTCTATTCACAGGGTGATGTGACATTTATACACGTTCAAGTTTCCTTTCTTTTGACCATTTTGTAAAGGATACAATATTTTTCCTTTCCCGTCAGAAGTTAGGTCTCCTGTGAGGTTGTATACAGGAGAATGAGCTAGGGAAATACTTTTACGGTGGATGGTCTGCTTGAAACTCATTTTAACAGGAACAAAAAAAACCATAACCTGTGGAGTAGAAAGGGCCTAGCACTGGCCAGAAGACCTGAGTTTTGGCCCTGATTCCTGAACTGAGTGGCTCTGAACAAGTCACCCGCCTCAGAGCCTCATTATCTTTACCTGCACACTGAGGGGATTGGCGTGACTTGAAGTTCCTTTCCAGTCTTACGTCTGTTTCTTTGGTGTGTAAAATATGTAACGATTTGGGGGATTGTATTCTTTCCAGATCTTGCCTTTCCACTCACATCACTCCAGTGGGTTGCAGAGAGAAACTGCCAATATCCAAATAACCTTTTTTCAGTTCACATTAACTTGAAAATGTCTTTTAACAAGCAGCAAGTCAGGTGTCTGTGGATAACAATCAATGTTCTCCAAAACCTGATTTCTTCCTTTCCTTATCTTTCTTTCTTTCTTTCCCTTCCTCCCTCCCATTCTTCGTTTGCCTTTAAGGGGTGGACACAAAGGCTTTGGCTCGGGCTCAGCGCTGCAGCTCAGGATCTAACAAAGGGAAATCCCCCATGTGCTGGAACCTTGCAACTCCAGAAATGGGCCGTTTATGAAAGCTGAAGTACCGCAGGGGTGAGCCAAGAAGCCACTTGTGAGTCCAGCCAGTTGTCCCCAGTCCAGACCATTCAGAGGGAAGGACTCAGCTGATCTCCTGCCCCCAGCTGTCCAAAGCCAGGAGGTGCAGCACCTGCTGAGGAAAACTGCAACGTGGGGATATGAGGGTTGAGGAGGTCACACTTTCTCTTTTGCACTGGAAAACTGCCCTTTTCTTAATTTTCAATATTCTCTCCCTGGATGTTAAAAGTCTGACTACTGGATGATTACTTTCATACATTTAGTTTCCCCCACTTTAATGCTGGCTAACTTTTAGGAGGTGGGGTGGGGTGGGGGATGGGGAAGGGTGAGAGGATTGGGACAGGTGGATGGGGAGGGGATGGAGGATAAGGGTAGGCTGGGGTGGGAAGGGAAAGGGAGGAGATAAAAGAATGAATAAATAAATGGTGAAAGAAAAGAATGATAAGCAAAAAAACAAAATATTCATTGAGTACCTACAACTTGCTAGGTGTTAGTGAGGTGCCAGGCATACAGCAATATCCCCGGGTCATAGAACTGAAGAGGGGAGTCCTCAGATAGTCTAAGGAGGGAAGATAAAAGCAAATAATTCAGCAAATACCTTAATACTTGACACTGTGATGGAATTGCTATGAAGAAATACAAATGACCAGGACCTAATCCAGGAGGTGAGGAGGGTGGTGTTCAACAAAAGTCAGGTATTTTTTTTTATTTTTGAGGTATCACTAATATACACTCTTACGAAGGTTTCACATGAAAAACACTGTGGTTGCTACATTCACCCATATTATCAAGTCTCCCCCACACCCCATTGAAGTCACTGTCTATCAGCATAGTAAGATGCCACAGAGTCACTACTTGTCTTCTCTGTGCTATACTGTCTTCCCCATGAGCCCCCCCGACACACCATGTGTACCAATCATAATACCCCTCAATCCCCTTCTTCCTCCCTCCCCAGCCACCCTCCCCGATCCCTCCCCTTTGGTAACGCTAGTCCCTTCTTGGAGTCTCTGAGTCGGCTCAGCTGCTTTGTTTCTTCAGTTTTGCCTTGTTGTTATACTCCACAAATGAGTGAAGTCATTTGGTACTTGTATTTCACTGAGCATAATACCCTCGCAAATGGTAGGATTTGTTTTCTTCTTATGGCTGAATAATATTCCATTGTGTATATGTACCACCTCTTCTTTAGCCATTCATCTACTGATGGACACTTAGGTTGCTTCCATTTCTTGGCTATTGTAAATTGTGCTGCAATAAACATAGGGATGCATATGTCTTTTTGAATCTGGGATCTTGTTTTCTTCAGGTAAATTCCTAGAAGTGGAATTCCTGGGTCAAATGGTATTTCTATTTTGAGCATTTTGCGGAACCTCCATACAGCTTTCCACAATGGTTGAACTAATTTACAGTCCCAACAGCAGTGTAGGAGGGTTCCGCTTTCTCC